AGGCCGCCGGCGCGCAGCAGCGTGCCGAGGTCGTGCTGCAGGTCCCCCTGTGGGTGCACCCCGGACACCCGCTGGCCAGCCTGGCGTCGAGCGGCCTCGAGCTCGACGTGGCGTACGAGGGCGGTCAGGCCGTCATCCGGCTGAGGCTCGGCGCCGGGCTGCCCGGCGAGGTCGCGCTGGCGTCTCCGCCGGCCGTGGTGCCAGCACGCGCGGCGGTCGCTGGCGGCCAGGCCTCGAGGGGCAGCGGCGCCGCGGCGCCGCCTCGCCCGCCGAAGCGCGCCAGCGCCACAGGCACTGGCGCGCCGCGAGCTGGTGAGAAGAGCGCCATGGTCTGCTGCCACTGGAAGAACAAGGGCTGGTGCAAGTTTCAGGACACCTGCAAGTTCCAGCACCCTGACCACAAGAGGGGCGTGGGCCTCGCTGCCGCCGCGAAGGCGGCGGCGCTGGCTCAGCAGCAGCAGCAGCAGCAGCAGCAGCAGCAGCAGCAGCAGCAGCAGCAGGCGGCGCCAAGCCCTGCCGCGCAGCCCGGCGCCGGGGAGGTTGGGTGGCGCTTCCAGCCAGCAGCAGCCGTCACCGCGCCCGCCTTTCTCACACCACCGCCCGCAGTCTCGCCCAGGCTCCCTGCAGCACCTCCGATGGTGCGCGGTTTTGCCGCTACGGGAATGGCCGTGCCTGCTCAGCCGTGCGCGGCCTTCTTCTTTCGGTGATGTTGTCTTGAATGATGCGCGCAGTTTTTTATTGACAGTGACTCTGTCATTTAGATCTCCACCTCGCCCGTCTTTGCCTCAGCACCGTCCGTGGATGCTTCGAGCATGAGTCTCGTGAGCTCCGGGCAGCTCTGGTATGAATGCGGGTGTTGAACGTTGCTTATTGCGGAGGGCCTCACGGCTGGTGCCGCCGACTCTGAATGACGACGACGACGACGACGACGACGACGACGACGACGACGACGACGACGACGACGACGACGACGACGACGACGACGACGAGCGCTCTCGGGGGCCTCTTGGGTGTAGTTTGGGGGCCTCTTGATAGGCTCTTGGGGGCCTCTTCGGAGCCTCGTGGGGGCCTCTTGAGGCCCCCTGGGGGTCTCTTGGGGGCCTCTTGGGGGCCTTTCTGGGGGCCTCTGGGGGCCTCCTGGGAGCTTCTCAGGCTGAAGGCCCGAAATGACCGTTCGGGTCCCCCGTCTGGGTTTCCTCTTGCAGCCGTCTTGGGTGCCTTTTTGGCTGCCTTGGAGGCCTCTTGGGCGGTCTTTGGGCGCTCTTGGGTCGTTATTGGGCCCTCTTGGAGGCCTCTGGGGCGGTCTTGGGGCCTCTTGGCCTATCTTGCAGCGTCGCAAAACTGACAACGCGAGAATGCCGAAACCGTACAAAGGCCGAAGGGAAATCTATGATTTTGACCCTTCGGGCCCTCTTGGAAGTCCTCTTGGAGACCTCTTGGAGCGTTTTGGAAACCTTTTGAGCCATCTGGAGGCTACTTTGGCGACTTGGACCGATACGTCGGCGATTCGGGGCCCTCGAGGACCGTCTTGGAGGCATCTTGGGGCACTTTTGCTGCGTCGTGGGTGCTTTTCCGAGCCCCCGCACCACCCGGGGGAGAGTCGCATTTGGGTTGCGACCCCCCCTGGGACCCCCCCCCACGGCCCCCGCCTGGCGGGGAAGGGATCAAAGGGACGGAACTTCCCTTCGACTCAACTACAGAGCTGCTCCATTTCGCTGTGGCTGGCGCGCTCGAGGAGGAGGGCCCGGCGAAAGTGGGGGGAGCGGCGACGGGCCTAGGGAAAGCGGAGGGGGGCGGCGAAGGCGACGACGACGACGACGACGGCGACGACGACGGCGACGACAACGACAACGGCCACGACGACGACGGCCTCTTCCACACGCTGGCAGGGTCGGCGGATTTTTGCCCACGGCCTGACTGCGACGCTCAGGGGCGCCTTTGGAGCGTCGCACGTCTCGCGAGTTTTTACCGATCATCGGCTCAATCTCTCTTCTGTGGACCTAAGCTGTTCAGTGGAGGAGTTGGATTCGTTATTTTGCTGATGACGCGACAGTGAGATTCGTGATTTGTCGGTGCTACCTTCTGCCGAGGTGAGTCCACTCTGAAATAACCTGCATCTTCAGGGTAGTCTGGTTGCCCTCACCAGGACAATCTGGTTGTGGCTCAGGTGATTCAGGTGTCTGCCCCGCTGAAGACGGCTCGTCAAGTTGTCACTTGCAACTGCAAGTTCGATCCCGTCCATATCGGCCAGCGACCGACGAAGCTGATCCTCCTTCAACCTCAGCGTTTGCACGTTCAGTCGCTGAGCTTTTTCGTCGCAGGCCGTCCCCTATCTCGCATGACAGCAAGTTGATCACGCAGAATGCCCGTCTGCTTCCGAAAAGGGCCACGAGAGCCGCAGTGGTGGCAGAGTCGCATCAGCCAGAAGAAAGACGCATGACCACGTGGTGTGCTGAAGGTTTCCTCATGTGGCGGGCCGTGCGGGGCTTGCCGGGGGACTGTTAGGCTTCTCGTGGCATCTGTATAAGGCTCCCGACCACATCCTTGAGGGCCCCCCCCGACTTCCCATATCTCAGGAGGGAAACAAACACACAGACACAATTAATCGTCGATCCCCAGGAAAATATGGGAAAATATGGGAAGTGGGGGGGAAGACAAAAACCCAGAACATATAGGAAACTATTGGGAATAGTTTTATTTGTGTGTATTTATTTGTGTGTCCTGGGGCCCCTTCCATACCTTGCGTGCTGCTGACCCGTCGTCCTCCCTAGCTTCTGCCTGGGAGCCGCGAGGCTCGGGTCACCACGACCCGCGAGAGGCCGTTGCGCAGGGCGTCTTCCAGCGCGCCTGACTCCTGCGAGTCAGGCGGGTACAGTCGGGGCGCCGAAGAAGGAACCCTTTTTCCGTTGGGGAGGGGCTCAGTGTTCCTTACTCCAGATTTCGTAATAAAAGGGAGGGGGTCTGGACCCTCCAAGACAAGCCATTTCAGACCTCCCCCGTGGGGGAACCCTCCAAAACATCGCCCCCAGACCCCCCAGGCCCTCCAAGATAGCCTGGAAGAGACCCCCCCCGAAATGAGACCCCCCTCCCTCTATTACTAAATCTGGAGTAGTTTGTTTTGCAGTTCGCCTCAGGTGTTCCTTATGTTTCCGGCAGGAAGTCGAAGTGCAACTTGTGGAGATTGAGGCCCCGTTCCTTATTTGGGGTTTCTCAGGTCAAGGCCCCGACGGTATCGCACCAGTGACGTCACGCGCCCTGCGCAGCCAGGCACCCGCGGTGAGGCTGCGCTGCTCCATCCGGGCGGCCCCTGCAGCCCGCTGCACCTTCTTCGGCCCACCTCGAGCCGTGGCGCGGACGTCCCAGGAGCTCTCTGGACGTCAAGCGTGGCCTCCAGGGGTCTTGCTTTATAGGTCGGGCGTGTCCCCCTACAGGGGGATTTTCGACGAAAAATCAAACATGCCCCCAAAAATCATTTGAAAAAATAAAAAAAACATACCCCAGAAATAGTCCATGGCACATCCATGACCACCGCCTGGCGAGGTCTTCGAAGATGGATCCCCTGGGCGGGCGGTGGTTGTGGGCGGGCTCCCCGCCTCGCACACAGAGGTGGCGGCGCGGGGGGGGGCGGGGGGCTTCTGAAATGGCGGGGGGGGGCTCTGAGAGGGCAGGGTCCTTCTCAGGCGGGCCTGGGGGGCCTCCAGGAGGGCTCCTTGGAGGCGGGGAGGGTCTTCCAAGACGGCCCGTGCCCTGTCAGAAGGCAGCCCCCCCCCGCCCTCTCGGGAAGCGTCCACCTCGCGCCGGCCACCCCTTGCCGAGGAGGCGGCAAGAATCGGCTCCAGGGCGGGCCCCGTTTCGGGGGCGGCGGATCGAATGGCCTTCGGCCCATCCCGCCACCGTGCTTGGGCTGAGGGTATGAAGCCTATTGGGTGTTCGCTGGTATCTCGTGGGGAGCTTCTCGGGGGCTTCTGGAGGCAGATTGGACACCTCTTGGGGGCCGCTTTGGGGCCTCTTCGGGCCTCTCTTTGGCCTCTTGGGGGCCGCTTTGGGGCCTCTTCGGGGTGCCCCCTGGGCCATCAAGCAACTGGACAGGACGACGAGCTGGTCCCGCGGGAAGGCTCGCGGCCCAGGGCCCTTCTTCCTCGGGCCCCGCTTGCTGCACGTGCCAGGCCGTCGAGGCCCGACGGGGTTCCACGGTGGTTCTTCCAAGATGGTTCCTCCGGAAGCTTGCGTCTGTGGAGTCTGCGTCTCGCTCAGACGGTTTGTTCGGGGGGTACTTGTAGTCCGGGGAGGGTACCTGTAGTTCGGGGAATGGGGGACCTGTAGTGGGGGGGGTAACAGTCGTCCGGGGTGGGGTACCTGTAATCCGGGGGAAGGGGTTACCTGTAGTCCAGGGGGGGGAATCTGGGGGGGAACGCATGTTCACGCGTCAACGCACGCGTGGATTTAGTCTTGAGGGTATACCTGTAGTCCGGGAGGGTACCCGTCGCCCGGGCGGGGGGGTCCTGTTGTCTGGGGGGGGTACCTGCAGTCGGGGGTGGGGTACCTGCAGTTTGGGGAGATGGTACATGTAGTCTGGGGGGTTCTCCGGGGACACAGAATTATCGAGGGAGACTTGGCCGAGGAGGCCGGCCATCCCTCGTCGTCGTCGTCGTCGCCGCCCCCAGGCCCGTCGCAACCGTCGCTATTCGGCCTCGTGTCTCTCGTGGGAGGCATGCGGCGCCCCAAGGGGTGCCCCAGGATGGTTCCGAGACATCAGGCGGCCCAGAGGCTCCGAGAGAGCCTCAGAGTGTCCCGGCACAGCTCCACAGTCCGCCCGGGATGGCCCGAGCTCGTGCCGCCTCAAAGATCACATCGTGCTCGAACCTCACCGAGCGCGTTCAACTACTCGCAAACTGCCTGCTATCAAGCGTTGTGGTGGATCGTAAATCCCCCGCGGCGAACAGCAGTTGCAGTTGCTTTTGCGAGCAGTTGCTTTTGCGTGCAGGCCATTCGCGAGCAGTTGCTTTTGCGAGCAGTAGAGCGGGCGCGCTCGTGTAGAACAGTAGCCGTTTTGGCACAAGCCGTGTTCTGAAGTCTTCGTCGGAAGGACGAGCAGCAGAGCCCACGCACTGCACGGCCGAGAGCTCACGCATGCCGCTGTCCTTGCTGACCCTGCCCATCACCAGGCGCGGATCCAAGTCGTCCTCCCTGTCGGACTCCTCCGCCGAGGGCCCCGCCTTCCGCAGCAGCAGCGCGAGCACGTCGGCCTCCGGCCGGGGCGGCCTCCGCAGCATCACGGTGAAGAACACCTTCATCGACGTGGCCTCGCCGTCGGACGGCGAGCGCTCCGAGGGTGTGACGCCCCGCGGGGCCCAGACGTGGAGCCTCGCGGACGTGCGCCGTGGGGCCAGGGCCAGGCTGCTGGAGCCTCAGGAGACCGCGCTCGCGGCGGCGGACGACGACTCCGCCCGCGGCGGCGGCGACGACGGCACGCCCTCGGAGGCACGCCTCCACGAGAGCACCCCGTGGGGCGACTCGCCCGTGGCGCGCGCCGCGGCCCGGCTCCCCGGGGAAGAGGCCGCCGGCGCGCAGCAGCGTGCCGAGGTCGTGCTGCAGGTCCCCCTGCGGGTGCACCCCGGACACCCGCTGGCCAGCCTGGCGTCGAGCGGCCTCGAGCTCGACGTGGCGTACGAGGGCGGCCAGGCCGTCATCCGGCTGAGGCTCGGCGCGGGGCTGCCCGGCGAGGTCGCGCTGGCGTCTCCGCCGGCCGTGGTGCCAGCACGCGCGGCGGTCGCTGGCGGCCAGGCCTCGAGGGGCAGCGGCGCCGCGGCGCCGCCTCGCCCGCCGAAGCGCGCCAGCGCCACAGGCACTGGCGCGCCGCGAGCTGGTGAGAAGAGCAACATGGTCTGCTGCCACTGGAAGAACAAGGGCTGGTGCAAGTTTCAGGACACCTGCAAGTTCCAGCACCCTGACCACAAGAGGGGCGTGGGCCTCGCTGCCGCCGCGAAGGCGGCGGCGCTGGCTCAGCAGCAGCAGCAGCAGCAGCAGCAGCAGCAGCAGCAGCAGCAGCAGCAGGCGGCGCCAAGCCCTGCCGCGCAGCCCGGCGCCGGGGAGGTTGGGTGGCGCTTCCAGCCAGCAGCAGCCGTCACCGCGCCCGCCTTTCTCACACCACCGCCCGCAGTCTCGCCAAGGCTCCCGGCAGCACCTCCGATGGTGCGCGGGGTTGCCGCTACAGGAGTGGCCGTGCCTGCTCAGCCTTGCGCGGCCTTCTTCTTTCGGTGATGTTGTCTTGAATGATGCGCGCAGTTTTTTTATTGACAGTGACTCTGTCATTTAGACTCTCCACCTCGCCCGTCTTTGCCTCAGCACCGTCCGTGGATGCTTCGAGCATGAGTCTCGTGAGCTCCGGGCAGCTCTGGTATGACTGCGGGTGTTGAACGTTGCTTATTGCGGAGGGCCTCACGGCTGGTGCCGCCGACTCTGAATGGAGACGACGACGACGACGACGACGAGCACGACGACGACGACGACGACGACGACGAGGACGACGACGACGACGACGACGACGACGACGACGACGACGACGACGACGACGACGACGACGACGACGACGAGCGCTCTCGGGGGCCTCTTGGGTGTAGTTTGGGGGCCTCTTGGTAGGCTCTTGGGGGCCGCTTCGGAGCCTCGTGGGGGCCTTTTGAGGCCCCCTGGGGGACTCTTGAGGGCCTCTTGGGGGCCTTTATAGGGGCCTCTGGGGGCCTCATGGGAGCTTCTCAGGCCGAGGACCCGAAATGACCGTTCGGGTCCCCGGTCTGGGTTTCCTCTTGAAGCCGTCTTGGGGGCCTTTTTGGCTGCCTTGGAGGCCTCTTGGGCGGTCTTTGGGCGCTCTTGGGTCGTTATTGGGCCCTCTTGGAGGCCTCTGGGGCGGTCTTGGGGCCTCTTGGCCTGTCTTGCAGCGTCGCAAAACTGACAACGCGAGAATGCCGAAACCGTACAAAGGCCGAAGGGAAATCTATGATTTTGACCCTTCGGGCCCTCTTGGAAGTCCTCTTGGAGACCTCTTGGAGCGTTTTGGAAACCTTTTGAGCCATCTGGAGGCTACTTTGGCGACTTGGACCGATACGTCGGCGATTCGGGGCCCTCGAGGACCGTCTTGGAGGCATCTTGGGGCACTTTTGCTGCGTCGTGGGTGCTTTTCCGAGCCCCCGAACCACCCGGGGGAGAGTCGCATTTGGGTTGCGACCCCCCCTGGGACCCCCCCCCACGGCCCCCGCCTGGCGGGGAAGGGATCAAAGGGACGGAACTTCCCTTCGACTCAACTACAGAGCTGCTCCATTTCGCTGTGGCTGGCGCGCTCGAGGAGGAGGGCCCGGCGAAAGTGGGGGGAGCGGCGACGGGCCTAGGGAAAGCGGAGGGGGGCGGCGAAGGCGACGACGACGACGACGACGGCGACGACGACGGCGACGACAACGACAACGGCCACGACGACGACGGCCTCTTCCACACGCTGGCAGGGTCGGCGGATTTTTGCCCACGGCCTGACTGCGACGCTCAGGGGCGCCCTTGGAGCGTCGCACGTCTCGCGAGTTTTTACCGATCATCGGCTCAATCTCTCTTCTGTGGACCTAAGCTGTTCAGTGGAGGAGTTGGATTCGTTATTTTGCTGATGACGCGACAGTGAGATTCGTGATTTGTCGGTGCTACCTTCTGCCGAGGTGAGTCCACTCTGAAATAACCTGCATCTTCAGGGTAGTCTGGTTGCCCTCACCAGGACAATCTGGTTGTGGCTCAGGTGATTCAGGTGTCTGCCCCGCTGAAGACGGCTCGTCAAGTTGTCACTTGCAACTGCAAGTTCGATCCCGTCCATATCGGCCAGCGACCGACGAAGCTGATCCTCCTTCAACCTCAGCGTTTGCACGTTCAGTCGCTGAGCTTTTTCGTCGCAGGCCGTCCCCTATCTCGCATGACAGCAAGTTGATCACGCAGAGTGCCCGTCTGCTTCCGAAAAGGGCCACGAGAGCCGCAGTGGTGGCAGAGTCGCATCAGCCAGAAGAAAGACGCATGACCACGTGGTGTGCTGAAGGTTTCCTCATGTGGCGGGCCGTGCGGGGCTTGCCGGGGGATTGTTAGGCTTCTTGAGGCATCTGTAGAAGGTTCCCGACCACATCCCTGAGGGCCTCCTCCGACTTCCCATAGCTTGCTTGATGCTGACCCATCGTCCTCCCTATCTTCTGCTTGGGAGCCGCGAGGCTCGGCACCACGACCTGCGAGAGCCCGTTGCGCGGGCGTCGTCCAGCGCGCCTGACTCCTTCGAGTCAGGTGGGTACAGTCGGGGCGCTGAAGAAGGAACTCCAGATTTCGTAAGAAAGGGAGGGGGGTCTCATTTCGGGGGGGTCTTTTCCAAGCTATCTTGGAGGGCCTGGGGGGGTCTGGGGACGATGTTTTGGATGGTTCTCCCACGGGGGGGGGTCTGAAATGGCTTGTCTTGGAGGGTCCGGACCCCCTCCCTTTTATTACGAAATCTGGAGAACCCTTTCCGTTGGGGAGCGGCTCAGTGTTCCTTAGTTTGTTTTGCAGTTCGCCTCAGGTGTTCCTTATGTTTCCGGCAGGAAGTCGAAGTGCAACTTGTGGAGATTGAGGCCCCGTTCCTTCTTTGGGGTTCCTTGGGTCAAGGCCCCGACGGTATCGCACCAGTGACGTCACGCGCCCTGCGCAGCCAGGCACCCGCGGTGAGGCTGCGCTGCTCCATCCGGGCGGCCCCTGCAGCCCGCTGCACCTTCTTCGGCCCACCTCGAGCCGTGGCGCGGACGTCCCAGGAGCTCTCTGGACGTCAAGCGTGGCCTCCAGGGGTCTTGCCTTCTAGGTCGGGCGTGTCCCCCTACAGGGGGATTTTCGACGAGAAATCAAAAATGCCCCCAAAAATCATTTGAAAAAGCAAAAAAAATACTCCAGAAATAGTCCATGGCACATCCATGACCACCGCCTGGCGAGGTCTTCGAAGATGGATCCCCTGGGCGGGCGGTGGTTGTGGGCGGGCTCCCCGCCTCGCACACAGAGGTCTTCAAGACGGCCCGTGACCTGTCAGAAGGCAGCCCCCCCCGCCCTCTCGGGAAGCGTCCACCTCGCGCCGGCCACCCCTTGCCGAGGGGGCGGCAAGAATCGGCTCCAGGGCGGGCCCCGTTTCGGTGCAGAGTCGGCGCGCTCTGGTCGCCAAGCGGGATGGTATCGGCCGCACGCCCAGGGAGGTATCCAGTTGCGCTGCCGCGCGATTCCGCCGCCGCGCCCGCGCGGCAACTGGGGGGGGGCGCCTGGGGGGGGCGGGGTCCACGGTCCACGGACCCCCCCTCTTTCCCACGCGCGATTGGGACAACATGCTTCCTGGGTGGTCAAAACCGCAGGGACTTGGCCACACAGGTGACCGCATCCTGGGCCCGATGCGTTGGTCGATGGAATGGTAACATGTATCGAAGACGCCATCGGCGAATCACCGCCGGCCCCTGCCTTCTGGAGTCGCCCATGTGGCCGAGCGTTGTGGCCAGGGCTCTGCCAACCTGTTGGACCATGTGTTCCGCCAGCCGATGTTGAAACCCTTCGGGGAATTCGCTGGGAAGCAAGAAGAAGCGGAGGGCAGGGAGGAACAATAGACAGGAAGAGGAGGAGGAGGAGGAACACATATTAATACCACTACATTAGATGATTGAAGCGAGTGGGAACATTTCGAATCATAGTAATCATACGAATACCAAGCATTACTAATACCATGCAGCAGCATGATAATGATACTATTATCAGAGACGTTTTTCCCACGATTACATTAAACGATCTGTGGAATGCAACAAATCATGATGTCCGCCTGGGCCTCCGTCGGACGAGCGTAGATGCAAGCGCAGTGGCGCGCGCGGTCGCGCGCGACCCGCCGCTGGTAATAAGGTGAATGCGCGGTCGTCTCGTGCGACGGCAACGGCGACGGCGACGACGACGGCGACGCCTGCGCCTAAGGTGACGATGACGGCGGCAACGGCGACGGCGTCGACGACGAATATCGCGGCGACGGCGGCGACGGGGCCCGGGCCCACAGGCGAATTTGCGCCCCGCCCCCGCTACTGGAGTCCCAGGCAAGATTTCATGGAAGGGGCGCAATTTCTGCGCGCAGTTCTACCCCAGCCGCCCCGCCGCTTTACTCAAGTTAATTTGTCTCGTAAGTATCACGTTTTTGGTGTGTTCTGAATGTGTTGAGCGGCGCGCCTTTACTAAAGCCGCTCCCTCGCTTTAGTAAAGCCGCTTCCTCGCGTTAGTAAAGCCGCTTCCTGGCTTCAGTACATGCGCTTCCCCTCTTTAGTAAAGCCCGCGGTCTGCCTTAAGAAAGCCCTGGGGATGCGGTGGTGATGCGGGGCCAGGGCCTGGTCGGGGAGCTGGGGGCCGCTGTCTTTCCTGCTGTGCACTTCCCGATGCATATTATCGAATAGTCAGGAACGCGTTGCATCGGGTCGCTGTGACCCTTGGACAGGTTTTCAGCGAGTTGTAGATGCTCCGTGACAGAAGATTCTGGGCGCGATCGCAGGGCGTGGCTCGGCAGTTCGGAAGGGCCGCCGCGGTTGTCGCGCACCAATGCCCACACACTTTACTAGAAGGCTTGTTTCTTTAGCAAATAGCTTCTGCAAGGTCCTCGTGTGAATTGATTACTTCTAGTATGAATCCATATCAAAAATAAGTAAAACAAAGGAAGCAGAGGAGGGGAAGGAGGACACTGAGGAGGAGGGAGACTCTCAGGGGCCTTGTGGGAGCTTCTTTTCGGGCCTTTCGGATGCTCTTTGGAAGCCTTCTTGGGCATATTGGGGGCCTTTGGGTTTTTTGGGGGGGCCTCTTGGGCCGTCTTAGGGCGCTCCTGGCCCGTTTGGCGCCGTCGCAAACCATTTTGAATGGCTCTCCGAACCGACTTGGGGCCCTTTTGAGGCGGTTCGGGGCCATATTTCAGGCCATCCCAGGCCATCCTGTGCGTTCTTGGGGCTTCTCTTGAGGCCCTCTTGGGGCCCTCGTGGGGTATGTTTGAGGCCGTCCTGAACCGTTTTGATGCCTTTTGGGGGCCGTTTTGGAGGTTTCTTCGTGCGTCATGGGGTTACCTTGGAGGCCTTTGGGGGCATGTTTGGGGGATATTGGGGTCGTATTGGGCCGTCGTGGGCCGTCGGGAAAGCCGAACAAAACCAAAAGCAACGTCTTTTAAACAACATACTGGGAACCAGTGATTTTGGCCGTTCCCAACCTTCCTGAAGGACCTCTTTGCGGCGTCTTGGGCCTGGAGGCCTCTAGGGGGCCCTTGTGGCAGTTTTTTTTGGGGGGGCAGTTTTGGAGTTTTCTTGAGCGAACTTGAGCATCTTGGACTCTCTTGTGCCGTCTTGCAGGCCATCTTGGACAATTGCGGGTGAACTTGGAGGACATCTTGGCCGTCCAGGAGGCCATGTTGGGCCAACTCGGAGCCACTTGGCGCAGGACGACACT